GGCACACTGACCCGCTTCGTCCGGCCTGACCGCGCCATAGGGCCACGACATAGGGCCACACAACGTAGGACCTCGACGACAAAGGCCGTATAGGAAGACGGGCGGCGGCATGGGGTAACGTTCGCGCTGCTGTCATATGAGTGCGTGGTAGCTGAGATTTTGGTGGCAAAAACAACAATTATTTTATGAGTGAGTCGACTCCCGCGCTTCTCGCTAGCAGGCCACGGACACGACACGTACATAAGCTGCGTGAGCAAACGCAAGGGAAAAGCGGCCGTTGTTTTGTTTTGGTTTTGCTTCACACTAACCTTGGTCAACAGCAACCACACGTGTAGTGACTGGACCACGCACAAGGCTGGCCGAAACTGAACAAGTCAATAGAAAGTGTCGTGGAAGCGAATCCCTTTCTCGCACTATACGCATTGGCCCGTTTACTTTCACAGACCAAACAACCGTCGGACCCCTCCTCGCCCACCCGAGCTGATGCAAGAAAAGAGAGGGACAGTCACCGTCATCCGTCACGAGATGTAATCTAAATAGGAAAACGAGCCCCATTCGGAGATAATCAGTTTGAATTTAGAGTACTTGTCACGGCTAGAGCTCAGCTGTGTGCGCGCGGTGGATAACGCCCTCCTCGGTCGACTTCAAGGGGATAGAAAAAGTCCATGACTTACAACTTTAATGCATTATTCTGGGTCCCGGCCGCGGGTGAAGCGCGGGGCACGGCGCGGGAGCAAAACCTGTCTGACAGCCTGGGGACTCTGGCCTGCCTAGAGGGGTCTCCCTCGGGCTCACATACATGGCCGAGGGTTTGGCTGCGGAGCGTACGCTGGGAGCTTTTTGCTGCGGACCAGCATGATCTGTGACCTGCTGACTATAGGCTCGAGAAGAGATTGGCGTGCTCTGCCGCCCGGCCCCTGTGTCAGATCGTTGCAGCTCACCCACCTGAGCAATAGACGTTTGACTCGGCCACCCCGGGGACTGGGGGACTGCAAGTAAAATTAAAAGACAGAATGGCCAGGGAAGGCGAGGCTGGCGCGGTCTAGCGGCGCGGCGGGCGCCTGTCGGGTAGGCAGCCCCGCCGAGCTCGGCAGCGTCGCGGGGTGGCCTATGCGGAGAACCGCGGGCGCTTGTCGCCCCAGTGGGGAAATGTGAAGAAGATTGGGAAAACTACCGAGAAACTGCAAAAGATAAATGAATGGCACACGGCGTACGGAGAAACGAAAGAAAGGGTGATCTTGCGATAGAGCGGGGGACTGGAGGAAGGAGGGGAGGGGAGGGGGGTCAGTTTGTCGCGCGTGGAGCGTCCAGCCCCGGACAGTGAAAGTAACGTGAGTGGAATGTGGGGCCGTACCGAACGCAGTGCGGGGGAGGGGACCCGCGCGTGTGTGCACATGTGAGTGTGTGTGCGCGCACGCGCGCGCGCGCGCGTGTGTTTGTCGAAGCCCTACTTCTTTTTCCTGGTCCCCGCGGCGCGGGCGTTCACATATGACGACAGTCCTCGTCAGGTTCGACGTTAACAGAAAGAGTCGTCGGAGAATTGGTGCCGGCAGTCTGGTGCCGGCTTGCATGTCATTTTTCTCAGTTTGCATGCAAAGAGGGCAAAGAAACACACCTCCTCCACTTCCAGTACAGGGTGCCCCGTTCAATGCGGTACTTTCGCTCGCGCCATAAGTTTAAATCAAAAGTGCTTGCTTGCTGTGGGTGGTTTTAGTGTTGGTTGAGGTTGGCTCACCATCCGTAGCTCTCGGGCGCTCGTCTCCGATCCCGGACAAACTGTACCGAATCCAGAAAAATATCAGCCCAGTTGTCCGTAGCAGAGCGATATGAATTCAAAATTAGTGGGGCGAAAATCTCACCTTGCATGGGACACGCTGTAGTTAGACTTTCATATTATCAGACAAAACGACGGGTCCGTGCGCGGCGTTCGGCGTGCTTAACGGTAGCACAAGGGGCGTCTGTCCCCGGTCACCGGGGCGCATAACGCACAACACACGCGCATACGGGAGGCGGCACAAGCGCGCGGCACGCGGAGGACAGGGGAAAGTGAAAGAGGGGATAAATCTCTCTAAAGGGCCTCGCCCGCTCACTACAAGGACGCTTAGCTCCCGAGGTTATCTCATTATTTGTGACGCCCCTCTCCTCTCACCTCCGACCCGTTTCACTTTCTTCAACAACAAGAGTGTTTCGGGCTCGGCCGGCCGCCGCTGCCCCGCCCCGCGCGGCCCCACCGCCCCGCCCTCCGCTCTGGCTATGACGGTATCCCATCCATTCAGGCATTGTCACTTTCCTTCCGCGCTCACGTGCGCCTCTGTGTATGTATGTATGTGTGTGTGTGTGTGTGTGTGTGTGTGTGTGTGTGTGTGTGTCGGATCAAGTCGCGCTTGAATGGGTCACCCTCAGCGCGGCCCATCGCCATAGTGTAGTGTGTTTTCTAATGTCATTGCCCCCCCCCCACGGACGCCATCAGAACGTTATGCATGCATTGAGTGCATGGCTGCAATGGAAAGTGACACATTCCTTCTGACCTGGCGAGTTGCGACAGCGGCGCTCGCGGTAACTGCAAACACCTCGAACATACTCTCACTGTCGCGTGGGAAAATTATGATAAAAACACTCGGAACAATTTACGATAGTATTTGTCTGACGGGCTGGTTCTTCCCTCCGCAGGCCGGGTGGGTCGCCGGGGCGCAGGCGTACGACGGGTACTCGGCGTGCCCCAAGTCGTACCGCAGCGTGCGGCACCGCGCCCAGCTACCCTGCGACTTCCAGTCGCAGTCCTGGTGCACCGTCCCGGGCTCAGCCTACCCCTGGTGAGTACAAACGGTGCGTGCACGCGAACTGCGAACGCCGGCGCAAGCTGGGACTTCCCCCAAAACGGGGGAACCCCTTGCCCCCCGGCCCCGCCCACCCGGCGGCGCCGAGGAGAGACGCTTCCCACTGGCGATATCCCGCGCGCGGGTGGGACCCCAGGGGGTACTGACGACTCGCTCCCCGCTGTTGCAGGCACGCCGTGCGCCGCTTCGTGCACGAGAACCACGGCCTGATGAGGCGCATGTACGGCGACGAGCGCCACATCTCCGTCCTGCGCGCCGAGATCGAGTCCAACGACGTGGAGCTGGTGCGAGACCCGGGCTGGCACCTCGAGGACGATGTCAAGCGGCGGTACTCGGCCAAGCCGCACTTTCGACCGGCGAACCGGAATCACCAGCAGCAGCCGCCGCCGCCACCCCCGCCAGTTCCACCTGCACCCCCGGAACCTGTGGCGTCGTTCGCCCCTTCACCGACCGCGGCTAGCACCGCGACCACCACCACGTCGCCGACGACCACCACTTCGACCACGCCGTCGACGACAACCTCCACGGCTGCATCAACAACTGCAAGCAGCCCGGCTACCACGTCGAGCACTGGTGCTCCTTCCACGACGACATCGGCGACGTCAACAGAGCCCCCCTCCGAGCCGCTCGGCCTGTACAACGGGAGGATACACCCGCACCTCATCAACGCTTCTCACTTGTTCAGGTAATCATTCAAGCTGAAAAGTATAATTTTGAAATCTGCTCCTGTTCCCTTTAGCATCGCAACCGTGACGCGTTTTTAAAATGTCGCCTGTGTTTCGCAGCACACCCTCCGCGCCGAGCTCCTCCTCCACTACGACGGCCTCGCCGACGACTTCATCCGCAGCCCCGGACACGACGGTGGGCGACTGGTCCACGGAGGACACAACCTTCACCACCTTGCCTGTGAGCAGCAGCAGCACTACTTCCACCACTTCTACCACCAGTACAACAACAACCACCACCACCACCACCACTACCACCAGTACGACCTCTACCCCCACGCCATCAACCACGAGCACCGAGAGTGACGAGGAGGTACAACACTACTTGCACGTCGTGCAACAGCACGTCCCTGTTTGTAGCTACACGACTGTAGCTACAGCCGACAGTGCCCGAGTCAGCTTGACCTGAACGGTCTATAGACGAATTCATTTCGGCCATGCCAGAATATCAACCGGAAGTAAACAGCGCTAAGAAATAAAGCGAAAACGAAAGATATCAATGCCTCTCCGAAGCTCTCGCCTTGTCCAACTCCCCCAAAAATGTGTTCTCAATTCAGGTATTGCTCTCAAAATTTTGAGCCCCATTTCTTGTTTTAAGAAACAAACAGGACTTAAAACAAGAAATAGGACTCAAAATTTTAAGAGCAATACTTGAATTGAGAACACATTTTTTGGGGTGAAGCGCTCGGAGGGACAGGGGGCCGCGGGGGCCCGATTCAGGAAAGCATTGCCT